CTCAGGTGAAAGGACCAGGTATTTCACAAATGACTTAAGAACGCTTGGGAGTTTTACATTGTCTTAGCTGTACAGTGGTGTACTACTACTACAGTATATGCTTTTTTAAAACTTGTTTGTTTTAGAAATAAATTTGCACAAATTAACTAATAATGATAAATGATTCTCTCAAAAGAAGGATTGAAATTATTGGCATATTTCAATTTTATTATTGTATTCTTCCCTCTGGTTTTCTTTTTCAGTATGATTCAGTAATTCTGAATGGAATTTTTTAAATATTAAGAAGACAAGGGGCTGATTGATATTTATCTATTCTAGTCTCATACTCAAGGGTTACTGTAAAGCAGTACAATTATAACATAAATCAAAGCTGTGATTCAAGGTTTCTTTGGAGTCTGTGATCACCCTGACATTGCTTGTAAAGTGTGTGTGCACATGTGCATTTTCATGGGGAGGGTAAAAGTTTTGATAGGTTGTTACAAGGAATTGTCACTCCAAAACATTCATAAATTAATGCTGTAAATTTTAGAGAACTATACAGAGACAATCCTGCTTGTGGATCACAGTATAAGTTTAGTTACCCTCGTTCCTAGTATATCACAGGGGATCTCTTTTGTAGTTTTAATCAAGCCCAGTAGTAAAGATATTTTTTTTTCAAATGTCACCTGGCTTTTTAAGATAAGTTGACTATGTTCTTATTTGACATGAATATAAACACTAATGGCCTGTTTGTTTATAGACTTTGTTTAGAGTTACTTTTAAAAATTGGACTTCTTTGAGAGTTACTCAGTTGCTTTTTTTTAAGAAATTGAGTCCTTTTTTAAAGTGAAGTTTAGTATATTTGATCGATAAAGATCAGTTTAGTGTATGAAAGAGAAATAAGAAACCTAGGATCATTGGTAACAGTGTGGACCTGAGCCGGCTGCCTGAATGTGATTCTAGCTCACCCACTGCCTAACTTTGTGCATTTGGATGAGCCGCCTAACCTCTCACTGTCTTAGTTCCCTAATCTCGAAAATGGATGTAAAATAGCACTTACCTCATATAACTGTTGGGAGAATTAAATGAGTTTAATAGATTTAAAGCACTTAATACAGTTCCTAATACTTAGTAAGTTCTATATAAATGTTATATTTGTTACTGTGCGAACAGAGTATGTAATGAGGAAATTCTGTATACCTATACTTAGGTATAAAATCTACCATTTGATTTGTGGGTCTTTTTGAATGCATATTTCATGAATACTTTCTTTCTCTTTGATCATCTGTTTCCTGCAGAAGCCGGCTATGTGGCTACCCCCATAGCCATGGTCCAGGCAGCCATGACTCTTCTAAATGATGCCTCTGATCTTCCTAAGGCGTAAGTCTGATTGTCTTCAAGTTTGAAGATACCTTTTTCACTTATGTTAAAGTTTAGCTTATTTAGGTTCGGTTTTCAGGTGTCGGGTTTGTCTATAAGCATTTACAGTACCTTTGATTAAAGATCAAAGAGGTAAACTTAAAATTGTGAGCAGGATAGTTCCTATTGACCCCTAGGAGCAGAGTAGAGGTAAATGAGAGGAGACAGAAAAGTCTGAGATCCATGTAAGTTGGCTTCAGTTCCTCCTAAAAATAACTCAGGTGCATGGTCAGCTACTCAGAAAAGGTCCCTGTAGTTGAATGGTATTGACAGGAGCCTGTAATCCGTGCTGAATGATACCCAGCTGGCAGTGGGAGCCTTGATACCAAGCATCCAGGCCAGGTAATTATCAAATGGATTATCTTACTGGAGCATTTAGCTGTTACCCTAAAAGTAGGCCAACTCTATAAATGAGCATAGGCCCACAAGCTTAGGAACAAATAAGTTTAGGCATGACCTGAAACAATAATAAATAATAAACATAGAAATTATACAAAGTGAAACCTAATTAAAGTTTTCAAATATTTGTATGCCCTTTGAAAATATTTATCATTTTCTAAATATTAGCCATTATATTTAAAGGAACTTCTTTTCATCCAGTTTGTCTCATTTATGCTTTATTAGTAATTGATAATTAATAATTGATTTATTAATAATTAATATAAACTCGCTGACTTTATAAACAGCTTCTGCTACTTGGGTTGATAACCCTCCACATGCCCTTCGGACACACACCAGTATCATGGAAACAGTTTCACTAGTTGTTGAACCAGTCTAGACAGGTTTGCTGGGTACTAGTGTCCTCCTGAGTATTAGATACTTGCTCTTTTGGCTGATTTTAGAAACAGAACCAAAACTAGTCCATGACAGAGTCAAGAATCAGGTATTCACGAGCTCTGCGGTGATCTGACAGCTAGGCCTCTAGTAAATCGCGCTGGCAGAGGAAGGGGCTGGAGCTGGGCTCTGTGCACTGTTTTATCTTATTGTCTTTCAGGGGCGGGGTCTTCACACCTGCAGCAGCTTTCTCCAGAACAAAGTTGATTGACAGACTTACCCAACGTGGCATTGAATTTAGTGTCATTAGCAGCTCTGAAATCTAAACATTTGAAGAATTAACTGAAGTCATAAAATGCATGAATTAACAGCTTTTTAATTTGTTATTTGAAATTCTTCTATAAGCCTATCTGACTATATATGGAAAAGATTGTCAAATCTAAAATATGTACACTAAAAGCAGGAAATTGTATTTGCTTACCCTAAATTTCAAATCTTAGCTGATTTTTGTGATTTTTATTACTTGTAAGAAAAAACTATTTGACTGATTTTTTCATTGAAGAATTCATGGTCAGTTTCTATAAGTGAGCTGGCAGATCAGAGGGTGGGGTGGATAGCTCTGTCTGTGTTGCTGACAGATTCCTTGACGAAGCACCCAGGCTGGTGTTCATGTAAGAAGTTGCTGCTGCTTTCTTTGCCATGATTATCACACTTTTCCATGAGTTTCTCTACATCGAGTAGGACTTTGCCAAATGAAACTGCATTTTTGCTATTTTAGCCTAGTTTTTCACCCACCTACACTGACTGATTCTGGATTCTTACCTAAGTTGCATAATAAAGGATTATCAATTAAACAGTGGTTTTGTGTTTGAACATGGCCATGTAATTTAGTAGTGGTGGAAATATGCTTCCTAAGTGGTCTGTGTACTGCTAATAATTGGACTTGTCATTCATTTTGCCTGGTTCTGTACCTGTGGTTGTTTTTAAGGATACAGCTGGTAAGTTTCTATTACTTTTCATTGCCTAAGCAAAATTTTTTTCAATTTATTTTTTATATTTTAACCAGGTTTTCCACTGAAGCCCTAAACTAAGGTAAAAGACTTTTCCTTTGGTAATAAGCACACAATAAACACATATAAGTGTTCTGTTACATTCATTATGTAAAGAGGACAGCCACTGTCTTTATGGAATTTCTGCTGTACAGCAAGAGGAGTGACATTGATAGGAATCTTATTCATGTGCTGCCTGTACAGAAGATGAGAGGGAGATTCTTGGTGTTAGTACTGTTCACCCTAACTTTGCTTCCTCTGCCCAGGGCTGGTCAGAATCTGGTCTCAGCTGCACCCTAATTTGTGGGACCTTAGAAAACGTTTTATCATCTCTAAAATCAGGAAGATGGGCAGGAGCAACAGATGTCATGATTAACTGCATATCAGAATCACAAACAACATAGGTTCTCCAGTGAACCTCAGCAGTTTGATGCAGAAGGTCTGAAGGTTGGGCCATAGGAATCTGTGATTTAGATCTGCATTTGGGAGCTTCTGGGTAAGACTCCGTGTGTGTCAGCATTCTTTCCACCTTTGCAACGTGTGCTGTGTTGTATTCTAGGGTTGACACTGATAATGACCACCTGTGTGACTCTGTCCTCCAGCTTGAGAAACCAGCGTGTCTCATCCTGATTTTCTTTTTAACATCCACCCCCTACCCCAAGGCTCTACCTGCTCATTTGCAGAAAGTATACTACTTGTCTGAGTAATATACTTTCTGCAAATTATCCAAAAACTTCAAGGCTCAGTCCAAGAGTTAAAATTTTTTCTTGCTTCCTGTGGCCTCACTGCTGTTCTGCCTCATTGACAGAGGCTTTCTAGGATTCCATGATGGTTTACTGACCCTTGTCCCTGCCATCACCAACATGGAGCTCCACGCTTGGGCTCCAAGTTTACAGGTTATTTTTTAGTTCCTATGCATACACTCAGTCAGGCGTTGAGCTGCAGGCAAAACCCAATCTCCCCTCATAAGCCCTTGGACCCTGGTAGTAAGCTGAAATCATCCAGCCCAGATTCCTCCCCCTTCCCAGGGAGACTCCTTTTTAGAGCCCTTGATGGCCCCTCCTGCCAGCAGAGTTTCAGTGTCATTACATTTGATTTCCCTAAGTTTACATTTTAGGGTTGTCACCTCTATTTCCTCCTTCCTGGTTGCTTATGCAAATCAGTCCAATGGCTCCCTGGGACAGTCCTGCATATTAAGGCCCAAGGCCTTTGGTTAGAAATGCAGTCTGAGTCAGCCCACTGCTTACTCACAGTGGCCTGGACAAGCCTTGTTTATTTAACATTTAAAGCCCCGCAAATGGGGAAAAGTAATAAAACCAAACTCATAGAATTATGGTGAGACTTAAATGAGCTAACAGATACTTAGCACTTACATTAGTGCCTGACACACAGTAAGCACTCAGTCTCAGTATTATTGCTGCTATTGTTATTAGTCTCTCTTTGACTACAAAAAGTTTCTTTAAAAGCCTTTCCCCAGAGCACTCAGTGCCTGTCAGTCCTTGACTAAGACTCATCAATGAATTCTTTGTGGAATCAAGATCACTTTGAGATTCACTAACTCCTGGCAGATCTCGTAATAAATCTTAATCTTTGAACCCAAGGCCCTTGCACTGAAGCAGTCCCACAGTACAGGTACCAATGATGCTTAATGAATTGAACCTATTTCAAATAAACCTATGAAGACAGAAAATAAGGGGAGGTAGAATATCAAACTTTGTTCAGAGCAAAGATACAAAATGAAGGTCATGAAATAACCATTCTCTAGGTCTGCAAGAAATTTATCAAGAGTTTTTATTTGAAGTTTCAAACTGTTGGTCTTGAAAATATGAAGAGCAAATGCTTATCAATTGCTTCTGAGTGCTAGGCACCATACTAAACGCTTTATATTCTCTTATATTTGTTAACCATCTGTAGTAAGTAGTTACCATTCCCATGTAACAGATAAGCAAAGAGGCTTAGAGAGGGGAAGCCCCAAAGCACACACTTGATAAGTGATGGATTCAAGCCCAGGCAGTCGATCCCAGAGCTCAGTGTTAAACAATCACCTCTTGTATCTCCCACCTAAACTTCACCCTGGATATGGATTCATTTTCTTACATGATTTTAAATCAAATTTAAGATGAGTTTTGCTTAAAAGCGATATAGGTTGAATAAGTTGGAAATGGGTTGACTATGTTTTGAGTTCACAATTCAGCTCTGATAACCAAGTCAGTTCAGCTCATTAGCTGCACAAATAATCCTCAACAGCTCAAATGTTTTCAGTTGGTGTATCTTCTTTATTCCATGTGCAATAAACATTCTCTCTTCTTTTTCACTATAAGAGCAACATCATTTTTCAGTTTCCACAAGCTGGATTCAAGTAGGTCCCCAAATTCCTTTAACATTTGTGACTGTTGGTGTACAAATGGTCGAAGCATTTGATCATCTTCCTAAAAATAAATGAAAGGAGAAAATATGATACTGTTGTTGAACCCAAGTTCGTGTGCCAGATGCACAGTGAGGCCAAACAAACCAAAACGTCGGAGTTTGGAGCAGAAAAAGGTTTATTAGTCGAGGAGGTGCCAACCTGGAAGATGGGAGATCTAGACTCATCTTAAATTCATCTTGTCAGCTGGCCAAGGCACAAGGTTGTTAAAGGCAAAAAAAGGTAAAGGGGAGAGAGGGTCTTTGTGATTTCAGCTTTCTTTTTTTTCTTATTAATTGAAGTATAGTTGGTTACAATGTGTTAATTTCTGGTGTACATAATGCCTTAGTCATGCATATATATACATACATTCATTTTCATTACAAGTTATTACAAGATATTGAATATAGGTTCCTGTGCTTTCTGATAAGACCTCAGTTGCAGACTTCCTGGCACTGTCTTGTGATTTGATGTGTCTCTTGTGAATGTGATTGATCTATGTATTCCTGCAAAGCAAACTTATACATCATGGTCTCCTGATACCTTAACTTTGGAGGAGAGAGCACAAGCAATGGTTGAGGCATTTTATTATTTACTTAGAGCCTCCGTGATGGTTCAGGAATTTCAGTTCTTAATTGACCTTCCTGGTCATCAATTTTAAGTCCATTTGGGGCCAGCTAGCGGAAGCCATAGGACATTATCCCCCAGTTTGGGGTCATAAATCAAGGCATTGGTTTCAGCTAATAGTCACGGAAAAGATCATGTTGGGCTTATATTTCCTTTATTTCTGCCTTCCCTCACTTCCCTAGTTAGTAAGTGCTTGAATCCACTCTTTGGAACTCAGGGAAGGCCTAGGAAACTAACGCCTTTTTGACAAACAACAAACAGGGGACACGGAAAGGCCTTTGTACCCAGGATGGTCCTGCAGGGTCCTGTTTGGTTTCAATATTAGTGACTCACATCATTATAATAAAAATTATGTGCATACATGAGGGAGGTAGCCAGTGAGTTCTCCCTTTGGGCTAGAAAGCTGCATTTGATAGCTGCTACCAGAGAAGGCTGCCTGAGTGGCCCTTTAGTTACTGCCAACAGGAAAAATTGGTGAGATAATCCAAATACTTCATATTGGAATGGTATGTATTTTTTTTTAATGCTGTAGCAGTTCTGAGGTTTGCAAAAGATCATACAGGGTGGGAGTTCTCCCATGGTTGGGGTTGGCTGATGTATCCCCTGCCCCATGGAAGCAGGTACACCTGTGGGGAAGGGTACCAGTGAGCCATGGTGGCACAGGTGCCAGTGCTCACAGAGATGGGAACAGGCAGGGGGCAGGTAGTGTGCCGTGCACCTCGTGTTAGTTGCTGTTTCTCTGCTTATTAGTGAAATGCCTGCTCGTGTACTATTGCCATTTTTTCCAGTGTGTTTTCCAACATGTCTTTCTCTTACTTTAAAAGTATGTAGTTGTTTATATATTCTGGATACTAATTTTTGATGATAAATACAAATAGATACAGATTATGGCTTATTTTTAACTTTGTTTTTAGTGTCTTTCATCACATTTTTTTTCTTTTTTATTGTGAGATATACATACAAAAGAATACCCAAAATGTACGTGTAGGTACAGTTAAAGGGAACATACCTGCTCAAGAAAAAAAACGCTGTCTCTAAAGCTCCTCCTGGTCACACCCATTCCCCCTCCCCCAGAAGCAAAAACTAACATGAATTGTGGGATAATTGCCACCTAGAATGCAGCCCTAAACAGTATATTTTGCCTGTCTTTTAGCCGTTTGCATGGAATCTTACTGGATGGCATCTTTTGTGACCTGAATCTTCAGTCAGCACTGTTGATGGTGAGATTCATCCAGTTGCATGTGGCTATAGTTCATTTTCACAGCAGTGTCGTGTTCCACAGTATAAAAGGTGCTATGATTTACTTATCTTCTGTGGATGTACACTGAGATGTTTCCACGTTGGGACTATTACGGAAGATGGTGTTATAAAAAGTCAGTGCACATAGGCACAGGTTTCTGCAGAATCCATCATCTGAACCACAGAATAGAAAATGAGTCACTTTTCCCAATTCTCTCAAGAATAGTGTATAACTAGCACCATTCCAGACAGGTGAGAGAGAAATTAATTCATTACATACATAGGATCCCTAGAGAGGTGGTTCTCAAACTTCAGTTTCAGGCAGAATCATCAGGAGGGCTTGTTAAAACACAAGATTACTGGGCCTCACCCCAGAGATTCTGGTTCAGCAGGTCTGGGAGCGAACTGTGGAACGTGCATTTCTAACAAATGATGATGCTGGAGCTGCTGGTGGGGAGCCCACACTTTGAGAACCTCTGCCTCGGGGCATTAAAACCAGCGTACCCTGGAGAAGAGGAGTAGAATTGCAGGCTTATAGGGTAGATGCGTCTTTGACCTTTAGTAGATAAATGGCAGACATTTTTTGAAGTGGTTGTACCAATTTATACTCCTTCCAGCATGGCATGAAAGTTTCTGTTGCTTCGTATCTTCACTAAAACTTGGTATTTTCAGACTGAAATTTTTGCCAGTATGGTTGCTTTATATTAGTATATCATCGTGGCTTCAGTTAGTGTTTCACAAATTATTAATGAGGGTAAGCCCTTTTTCATATATTTATTGGCCTTTTTGATTTCCTCTTTTGTCAAGTTCCTGTTCAGGTCTTCTGATCATTTTTTTTCTATTGAGTCAAAATCTGTTTTTCTTTTTGGTTTGTAGTAGTTCATTATCATTTTTTTTCTATTGAGTCAAAATCTATTTTTCTTTTTGGTTTGTAGTAGTTCATTATATAGTAAATGTGTTGCAGATGACTTTTCCTATCCCTTTTGACTTTATTTTGGTATCTGGACCAAACTTTACAATTTTTTTTGGAAAGTTTTAATTTTTTTAATTGAAGTATAGTCAGTTTACAATGCTGTGTTAATTTCTGGTGTACAGCATAGTGATTCAGTTATACATATATATATATTCCTTTTTATAGTATTTTTCATTATAGGCTATTACAAGGTATTGAATATAGTTCCCTGCTATACATTAGGACCTTGTTGTTTATTTTATATACAGTAGTATCTGCAAATCCTGAACTCCCAATTTATCCCTCCACTCCCACCTGTCTCCCTGGTAACCATAAGTTTGTTTTCTATGTCTGTGAGTCTGTTTCTGTTTTGTAAATAAGTTCATTTGTGTCATTTTTTTAGATTCCACATATAAGTGATACGATACGGCATTTTTCTTTTTCTTCACTTAGTATGACAAGCTCCAGGTCCATCCATGTTGCTACAAATGGCATTATTTTATTCTTTTTTATGGCTGAGTAGTATTTTATTGTGTGTGTGTGTGTGTGTGTGTGTGTGTGTGTGTGTGTGTGTGTGTATGTTATTAGTTACTACGTACGTACCGTTAACGTTTACTTTACTAACCAAAACCTACTTCGTTGGTTAGTAGTACGGTACCGTAGGACG